ATAGTATGAAAACAGTCTCACTGCAATTTTAACCACAACCGGCACAAATGTGATATGAGGTTTGAGTAGAGATTGTCAAATAACCAAAATACATTTAGACTATTTGAGGGAGGGGGGGAGGGGGTATGACAATCATGGAAAAGAAAGTATAGAATTGATTAAAGTGAGTCATGAGAGTATGATTGAAGACTTACGCAGTTCATCTCCCCCCGCCCACACACACACTCACACACAGACACACACACACAATTGTGACCAGGACAGGCTAAAAGACTACTATGCAAATATGACACAAGGTTAGCATAAAGCCCCTCTGAATTGACTTCAAATTTGGTTTTACATCTCAAACAAGTTTGTTGTGCCCTAATACACAAATATTTCTTGGTTACTGAATGCAGCATGAATTTTTGTGGCCGTTCTTCAGCTTGAGTCTTGACTTAGGTCTATACTTCTCCAGAAATGCTAACTGCTTGGCATTAATGGCCCCTCGTCTCTTCCTGAGTAATAAAAAGGTTACAAAAAGAGTTAATAGGAATATGTATCTTTACAATTGAAAAGGGAATGCTATGTTAATTCTAGAACATGTACTCACTGACGAATCATCTCCACAGCATCTTCATACTTCAAGCCGAGTTCAATTAGAGCAAGCGCTACAAGAACTGGTGCTCTACCCAATCCAGCCACACAATGCACTGCTACACAGGCATCAGGACAATCCTTGAAGCGCTTCCGCAGAAGTTCAAACCACTCATCCACCACCTTCAATGGAAATATACTTATTAGCAATGAGAAACAGCAAGTTAAATAAACAAGTTAGGTTCATAAATAAAATTTACCTGAGCTGGAGGAGAGGTGCCATCGTCATAGGCTAGATCTGTGACACTAATTCCTTCATCACGAAGCTCCTCCACTTTGTATGTTGGTTCACATACCCTGACCACATCTCTGACTTTGTGTTTCTTGAGTTCCTGAAACATACAACACAAAATAAGGTTCGACTATAACAAACCGGCAACGAGCTCTTCAACGAATCTGGCCACTCCCAAAATTCTTTCAGACAGCTCTTTATTTTATCAATAGTGCAGCCATGATGAGATACAGAATGAACTATAACTGGACACAAGTGTGTGAATGACCATTGGTACACGGTAAAGGTGTGAATTTCCTTAAAAATTTTATCTGTTGTACCTCCTTGTGCATGAATGGCATTTACACACCTTCAAGTATGCGACATTCACAAACCTGGTTTTCCAGTGTATGACATTTATCTAGGCATTTTGACAAAATTCGCTACAAAATGATGTCTTGACTGCACTCAATTCCAGATTGATCCAGTTAAATTCCCAATAGGCTTGGGTAGGAGGGAGGAGGGGTCAAGTGAAGTGGAAAAACAAAAATTCTTTGTCAAAGAAAGGCCAAACATTTACATTAAAGTCTTCACTAAATTAATAATCAAAATTGGTACTGAGCGCGCGAGGCGCGGTGCAGCGAATCAACAAATCAACTGTTAACGTCTTGTGCATTAAATGATGAACTGCATAACTTTACGCTTTAACTTGCCAACTTTATTGTTTAACTTTACAGTACAAGATGCTAATACTATGAGGTATTCTACCTTTAAATTTAAAAAATGTCAATGCAAAGAGATTCAACTTAATTTGTCGCTGTAGACGCCCCCCCTTACCCCTTTCCCCTCAGTGGCTAAATTTTTGAACGGCAAAATTCAATTTGTTGGCACAAGGTGTTGCAAGTCTTTGTGGCGCATGCCGGCGCGGTGTTGCCGGATCGATCCAGCACACCACGATCGGACGTCGACCCCAGAAAGCGACGGCGGGGTGGGGTGGGGCGGGGTGGGGCAGACGCCCGGTCGTACGCTGGTCTACGCAGGCAGGGATGAGAGAGAGAGGGGCGATGGGAGCCACCACAGCGTCTCTCAACCTCAACCCCCTCTCCCCTACGCCATATAGGTCCCTAGCATACGCCAGCATGCGCCAGCAGCACTCCATCCTCCCCCTCCCCTTCCTAAGAAGGACTCGCTGCACGGCTGGCACGGTAGGGCCAAGGTTGGGGGGACTGACCCCTCCCCGGACCTCCCAGACTTTACATTGACTGGAGGGGCACCCACCCTTCCCACGAAGCCCCTCAGTGCAGATAGGACCACTGCGGTAAAATTAATTGTAAATCGTATGTTACAAAAAGAAAGGGGGAATTGACCAACTGTGTGTTCTAAATTTATAACAGGTCTGGTGAATAAAGACCATCCAAGAATAGTCCGTCCACACTCTAAATCGGGACGGAAATTTTTTGTACCTAGCTCCTCAGATTTCGAGGAAGTCTCCTCAAAAAATGTGGAATTTTCCCTCATTCTTTGAGGAGGTTTCTCAAAATCTGAGGCGAGGTCTGAGGAGTTTTCCTCAATTTTGGGAGGTTCTCTAAGTTTTTCCTTTTTCCTCAAAAAATTGGACATTGTTTTTACCGTGAAATTTGTATCTGGTTTAGATGTGCACAAGGACACATCTAGCCTACGTAAACAAAAATTGTCTCTCGCCAGTGTGAATACGTTGGGTCATAAGAATTTTGTAATTTTACCATTTACAATCTTAATTTTACAGCATTTTACAATAGAATTTATTTTCCTAGTTTCTACCAACGTTTGTATATGGGTCGCGTTTAATCGCGTTAGTTTGCTCCGACTCCGACGTTGTGCAGTGCTGGGCAGATGCACAACAAATAAAGCTAAACCTATAACGTTTCTTACCTGGATATAGGCCTTGATGGTGGTGTCGGATGGCCTGTCCGTGATGAGGAACTTCATGCCCTTGTACTCGATCTCACATGGAGCAGGGCGAATGTCCTTGGCCCTCATGTTGTTGCTCATTTCCGAACTAAATCACAGAAGAGAAAATAATCCCAACACTTCTCCCTAGGTAAACCTAACTACTTCCTTTGTCGAGTTCAGTATAACTAAAAAAATTAACACTCCACAATGGCAGGAAAGAAGTTTCTTAAAGAAAACAATAGATAAAAATAATTGGAAGTAACTTGGTTGACTGATATGCTAAAATCGTCTTCCTTCTTTTCGACACTCCAGTCTCTTGGTACTCAACAACACTCACTCACACATTCACATACG